CCAAGCATAAGCTATCCATTCTATGCCCAAAAATGCTCCAAAATGCACTTATTTGCCACATTAACCCTTTGGACCTATAAACACACGAAAATAGCTTAAAATACATAATTAACTAAGAAATAACAACATAAATGCATGAGAACAAGCTAACTCAGTCGCATAAATATGCTTCTATCATTGACCAAGAGACCAACACGTGGCAGGACGATTGGGAGAATCGAGATCGTGGGATCTTGTCTCATAAATACGCCTGGTGGTATTTCTCGAGAGGGTTCAATGTTTGTTTTAGGTCGGTTTCGCTTTTTCAAAACCGAAACTCGAACCAAGGAGTGTAGGTCGACAACCTCAGAAGTGATGGGGCAATGTTTGGGCCCAAAATATTGGTTTGGGTCGAGTTTAGAATTGTTCTCGACCTGGAAGCATTGCTCAGAGGTCGGCCATGTCCTATCAGGATGGGGTAGTTGAATCCTAATACAATAAGGAGTCTTGGCAGGATAAGGATGTTGAAATTTGGGAATGAATACGGCCTAATAAGGGGTTGAGTTCAAAGTCCTAATAGGAGGATGACTGACAAAGATAAGAGTGGATCGGGGTAAAGAGTCATAATCCGAGTATAGGTTTGATTTGATCATAATCAGGTTTGCTACTATAAATAGAGGGTGGGGTGCATCATTTAACCCCCTCCAATTCAACACACAAACTGCCCTGCACAAACTCTCACTCTACGCAAAACCTCTCAACAACCTTGAGATTTTTATTTTCTTTTTTGCCGACACATCTTCAATTTGGATAAACAGCATTGTTGTCGTAGAATCAGCCGATCGTAAAACACCTTCAGTTTGGATAAACAGCACTGCGATGAGGCCGACTGGTTATCTATCCAAGTCTCGGTTGAGAAGGATTTTCAAATCTGTATTGGCAAAGGTTATCTCATCAGCCTTCTCAGGGAAGTGAGGTGTTACCAGGTTACTACATTCGGCACCCTGAGAGCTGAATTTGATATTGAACTTCGCAGAACTAGCAACCTTGTCTTCAAGTTCTAGAACCCGAAGGTCAAGACGTGTTCCTTCCTCAGCCGCAGTCGTAAGATCAAGAAGTCAGCAACTCACCCAACGCAACATCAACAAATTTTACTCACTGACCGAGCTCGGCCGTCGAGTTGGCACTCCCCGTACATAACCGAAGGACGTAGTTAGTGATGCGTAAAATAACTAAACACACAAATTAACCCTCTTATTGTCAATTGTAGTATGGATAAGTAGGGATCGTTCTTAAACCGGGGATTAGGAGGGATTGCTAAAACACTCTAAACTGACTCAAATCTGTAAAACAAAGTTTAAAATACTAAACTAGACTCAAAGAATGCAAAACTAAAATCTAAAACACTAAAACAAACCAAAAGACTCAAAACAGCAAACAAACACTCAAAACTGCCTAAAAACCACTTTCTGGGCGGTTTTGGGACTCTAACACAACTTGGACGAATTTTGGTTTTCTAATGACCTAAAATACCTAAAAACATATTCTAAGACAAGTTCTAGTTAATATGACTCAAAGAAATAGGGTGGGATTGATTTTGGACGAAAATAATTAAATGGGCAGATTGAAAAGAAAACAGATTGTAGACAAAATTGTGATGAATCAATGGATGATGGAATAGCTAAGGGGTTCTTCTCCACACATGAAATATATGCAACGTAAATCAATTTCCAGTTATCAATTTAATAAGTTGTGAACCTCGACACTCCAAGTTAATTAGGTCCACTTAAATTAACCTTCAGATTTCCCTAGAATCATTGAATTGGATGAATATGCATCGCAAACAAATTATTTCTAACAAGTTCTCTATATGAACAGCATGATAAAGAAACAAGTTAGAATCATTACGGTCCTTGGAAATCATAAGCATCGACAAGGCAATTGTAACTATGAAAAGCATGATACTCTTGCCAGGAATCTACTTAACACGATCGTGACTAGCGACCTTCACTACTTGCGAATATAAATTCATAACGATTAGGTGAAACAAACTTATATCCTAGCACCAAATTCAAGCATGCAAATTAAGCGTGCACTCTCAATCAACATACAAGAATAAGTTCTAAATCAAACGGTTAAGCAAATTGTATTCACGACTTATGCAACGATAACTGGAAGTAATCAACTTATTTCACATATATAATCATGGTTTTGAATACACCCTTAGCCAAAACGAAATTAGCCAATCATACTTAAAGCAAAACAAAGATTAAATGAATTAGACATTGAAATATAAGAGAATACACCTAAAATTGTTCAACAACTCAGAATGAAGAGCCAAACAATTGAGTGAAACTGTCCCCTTTCCTTGCTTGCGGCAGATTGGATGTTGGTGGTTCCTGGGCTGTTTTGATGATGTAGAATGGATTTTTGGGGGTGTAGGGGCACGGCAAGGGGTGTAGGGTGAGTGTATGGGGCGGCTAGGGATGTTTTTAGGCAGAAACTAGGGTGAATGGTGGTAGAATGGTGCGGCTAAGTGTATGGAATGTGTTCTGGCGTGAATGGCAGTCTATGGATGAATGGGGATGATTGTGGCTGCACAAGGATGTTTATTTAAAGGGATTAGGAAATTAAAAACCCTAGGCTATTTTGGTAAACAAAAATTAAGTCAAAAGCTTCTAGAAATAGGAAATCAAATCAGAAACTTAAGGGAAAGTAGGCTAAAGGGTGCGGCACTAACCTAAAATAGATTAGGAAGGTGTTTACAAGCAAGGAAACAGAAATAACTCCCTCCCTTGCACGGCAAGGAAGAGGGAAGGTGGGAAAGGTGCGGCAAGAATGAGGACCATGCAAGGAATGTGTAATTTGTGTCCTAGAATGCTTAAAAGGCCTTCAAAGTTGCTGGAACATAGGGACAATTACGATTAGGAAAGGTCAAACCAAAATACGAAACCTTGGCTTAACTTTCCTACTTCAAGTAGGAATCCTTGTTGGAGTAGGAATCCTTGTTCTTCTAGGAATCCTCATGTGATTTAGGAATCCATCTTCAATTAGGAATCCTTCGTTGATTAGGAATCCTAACTTCTTCAAATCTTCAATTACGTCCATTCCTTGTGCTCCGAGCATGTGATAATCATGCCAAGCTCCATTTTGCTCCAAAATGCAACTTCTTGCGTACTTTGTCCTTGGAATCTGAAAACACACAAAAGTGACTTTAAACACTAAAATAACGAAGGAAACACAACGTAAATGCACGAGAACAAGCCAATTAAGTCGCATAAATATGCTCCTATCAGTTAGCTTACTAAGTACTCGGCCTACGCGCCACATACGCTTGGTAGTTTTTAGGGTCAACAAAATTGTTCGATGTGTTTTTTATCTCCGACTGATGTGAAAATTAACTTAACACACAAATTAAACCCTCTTGTTGACAATTGTAGTATGGATAAGTAGGGATCATTTTGGACCAGGGATTAGAAGGGATTGCTAATCTACTCTAAACTGACTCAAAAACACAAAAATAAACTTAAAAACACTTAACAGACTCAAAGAACTCAAAACAAACTGAAAAGACTCAAAACTAACTAGAATGACTCAAAACAGCTTAAAACAACTAGATAGACTCAAACTAGACACTAGGAAGTGATTTAGACAAAAATTGAATTAAACTTGACTCAAAACACTTAAAAACACAAACTAAGACAGATTCTAACTAATTTGACACACTAAAGTAAAGGGATTGGGTTTTGGAAGAATTTAAAGTAAAACAAGTAACTAAAAACTTAAGACAGATTTTGGACGAATTTGGGATATGGATGATGGGCTAGCTAGAGGTCCATTCTTCACACATGACACATTTTTACATGAATCGATTTCCAATTGCTTTTCAATAAATTATGAAGCTCAACACCCCAGATTAACCGTGATGCACTAATTAACCCTCAGATTTTCCTTTACTCATTGAATTGGATGAATGCATGCGACAACCCAAATTATTCTCCAAAAGTCCCCTACATGAATGCATAATAGAGATACAATCAAAGATCATTACGTTCCATGAAAATCATAAGTGTTGACGAGACATTTGTAACTATGAATACATGATACGTTTGCCAAGAATTCAATTAATGCGATTGTGACTAGCAACCTTCACTACTCATGAATATAAATTTGTAACAATTAGGTGAAACTCATTTATATTCTAGCATCAAATTCAAGCATGAAAACTAAGTATGCATCCTTAATCAACATAAAAGAATCAGTTTTGAAGAAAACAGTTAATTGAATTGCATTCACAACTTATCAAATCACAATTGGAAGAAATCAATTCATATCTCAAGGATGTTCATGGTTTCGAACTTCCCTCTAGCTAAGTAGGGGTTTAGTTCCTCATACTTGCAATTAAACAGAAACAATTGAAATTAAACATTGAAAACTAAAGTAGAATACACCTAGAATGCTCCAGCAATCCAAATTGAATGGCTAGCACAACTTGAAGCAATCCTCCTTCCTTGCAAATATGTGGCACAAAGGTGTGAGTGGTGGTTTGTATGGGAGAATGGCTGAAAGTATGTATGGTGGTGAATGGGTGAGATGATGGCTGCGGCAAAGATGTTTATGTATGGATTTCTGGTTGTGTGAATGGTGGTGAATGGTGTGTATGGAAGTGGATGAATGATGAATGCCCAATGGCTGTTACACATACTTAAATAGCAAAATATGTCAAAACACTAGGGAAATACAGCTAGGGTGTGGCAAAAAAACCAAGGGAAAGAAAGTAATGATTGTAAAAGGATTTTTAACTCTAAATCAAATCAGAATCCAATGAAAAGGTTAAGGGGACAAGGAAGAGGACACAAGGCAAGGGAAAAGGAAAGGTTATGACACAATAGTGAAAGTGAAAGTTGTGGCAGAAATCTAGAAGAAAGGGGAATGAGTGCATAGCTAGGGAAAAGAAATGGAGTGGTGTGACAAGGAAAAGGGAGGGAAAGGCAAAAGGTTAAGGCTGCAAGGAGGGAGACATGGATGTGTGCACGGCAAGGAAGGTGAAAGGTGGTGTAATGGTTCAGCAAGTGGACAATGAAGGGGACAAGGGTGGTGTGTAAGGCAAGGAAGGGGAAAGTGATAAAATGGTGCAGCAATGAGACAATGGAGGTGACAAGAATAGTGTGCACAGCAAGGAAGGTGAAAGGTGGTGTGACACCCCTTTGTGGTTGAGATTAAGGCTTCTAGAATCCTTTATTTAGTGTCCTAATATCTTTGGGAACCCTCCTTGTGGCTGGAACTTAGTTGGATTAGGATTAAGAAAGGTTAAATCAAAATAAGGTAACTTGACTCATGTTTCTTCTTTTCTTGCTGAGCTCTTTATCTTCTTTAAATTAATTCTTCTTTCTCTTTAACACATTCTTAGTCTCTTTAGTCTTCAATTTCGCCCATCCATCTTGCTCCATGCATGTGCTATCTATTCCAAGCCCAAAACTGCTCCAAAATGCACCAAAGTGCACCTTATTGCTTCATAAGGCCTATGGATCTACAAACACACAAAAATAGCTTAAAATACTAAAATAACTAAGAACAAATTAAGTAAATGCAAGGAAACAAGCTAATTAAGTCGCATAAATATGCTCTTATCACCGACGCAGCTTTCGAAACTGAAGCATAGTTTGTTCAAAATTGGTTCATAATTTGTTTAGTGGGTTCGACATAAAGGATATGGTGCTTGCTTCCTTCTAGTCGCATTCAAAGTTCTAACTTCCACAATACTCAACGTCATACTTCCTTCCGCCAAAGTCAATTTGAAATTTGGTGAGTCTGGAAATTTGGAACTTTAGAATTTTTTTTATTTATTTATGTTACATTTGGTAAATTAATTTAGTGTTTATGGTTAACTATGCATGTTCATTGATGAAATTAGTGAAAATTGGTTGATATATATGAAATTTTGGGCAAATATGGATGTGATTTGCTGAGTTGGGATGATTTGTGTTCATGAAATCTTGAGATTGATTTGTGTTGATGAAATCTTCTTTAATTTTATGAATTAACTCAAGATTGCTTAAGTCATGATGATTTGCTTAGGGTTGATGCATTCTTATGAAAACTTGTTGACAGGTTGGGTTAAGGGTATATATTCTTAATTTTGGTTATGTTGAATGGTTGTAAATGTGTACAGGAGATGGCAACTTAGGGGTTCAACTAGCAACAAAAGAAGAAGAATCATATAAGGGAATGTTTAAGAACCTATCCCAAGTAAGTCATGTGCTAGGAGTCATGTGTCAAAAGTTTAATGACGCACATATTGCTACCTTAGGGCATCATTATTTGACCACTTAGAGCATGTCGATAAACTAGCCTTCAGTGGCCAATTGGTGCATGAGTTGTCGCTTCGTAGAGTGGCAAATCTAGGCCTGGCAAACGGGTCGTGTCAGTCGTGTTCGTGTCGTTTTCGTGTAACACCTGTTATCTTAACGGGTCGTGTCGTGTCACACCCGTTATCTTAACGGGTCCTTAACAGGTCGTGTCACTTTAACCAACGGGTAAAGTGACCCGACCCGTTATGACCCGTTATGACCCGTTAAGAAAAATATATATTTTTTCTTAAATTTGCACATACCACACATTGCCACATAAATATTACTTCAAAACATTAAAACACATTTGTCGTTTAAGTACTACATCTACACTCGAAAATAAGAGCCTAATAAAAAAATAATACATACACTACTAATCTATTACAAATTTTAAATGTGCAAGGATATGCAAAATGAAACAGTTTTTGTTTTCAAGGTTGTGAAATCTTTCTCAAAAGTTTAAACCTCAATTTACAAAATCCTCGATTTACATCGATCATCATGAAATTGCATTGGAACTTTGGCTTGATCTATTGCCTTCAAGAGTTATGTTGATGATGTTTTCAGTAAGGTTTTCCACGTCATAACTATCTTCTGCATAAACTAAGCATAGAAAAACCAAACATTAAAAATCATTCAAATTATGAGAAGTTTACCAAAATAATTATGAAAAAAAATAAAACAATAGTACTATACCATACTTTTATTAAGTATAAACATAAGATTTTGTGGTATCCACTAGTGTAAATATTTTAAATTGAAGATCGAATTCAATCATTGTATTCATATAAGGTCAAGGAGTGTAGTTGTAAAAAATCATCAAAATCGGAGTTAAATTAACCGTTAAATCGTGATTTTTCGTTTATAACCGTCGAAAAGTTTTGTCCCGTTACTTGCTCTCTGAATGTTTGTTTTTTTGCAATTTTTGGCGTATGCGATCTCGAAATATATACAAACATGTTTGACGGTTGGATCATTGAAACTAGTTTCGTAGAATGAGTATCCCATCAAAACAATAGATTCACTAATACTTAAGAGTTTATTCATACTTTTATTAAGTATAACATAAGATTTTGTGGTATCCACTAGTGTAAATATTTTAAATTGAAGATCGAATTCAATCATTGTATTCATATAGGGTCAAGGAGTGTAGTTTGTAAAAAAATCATCAAAATCGGAGTTAAAATGACCGTTAAATCGTGATTTTTCGTTTATAACCGTCGAAAAGTTTTGTCCCGTTACTTGATCTCTGAATGTTTGTTTTTTTGCAATTTTTGGCGTATGCGATCTCGAAGTATATATAAACATGTTTGACGGTTGGATCATTGAAACTAGTTTCGTAGAATGAGTATCCTCATCAAAAAACAATAGATTCACTTAAATATTAATTTTGTGGTATCCACTAGTGTAAATATTTTAAATTGAAGATCGAATTCAATCATTGTATTCATATAGGGTCAAGGAGTGTGGTTGTAAAAAATCATCAAAATCGGAGTTAAAATGACCGTTAAATCGTGATTTTTCGTTTATAACCGTCGAAAAGTTTTGTCCCGTTACTTGATCTCTGAATGTTTGTTTTTTTTGTAATTTTTGACGTATGCGATCTCGAAGTATATACAAACATGTTTGACGGTTGGATCTTTGAAACTAGTTTCGTAGAATGAGTATCCCATCAAAACAATAGATTCACTAATACTTAATAGTTTATTCATACTTTTATTAAGTATAACATAAGATTTTGTGGTATCCACTAGTGTAAATATTTTAAATTGAAGATCGAATTCAATCATTGTATTCATATAGGGTCAAGGAGTGTAGTTGTAAAAAATCATCAAAATCGGAGTTAAAATGACCGTTAAATCGTGATTTTTCGTTTATAACCGTCGAAAAGTTTTGTCCCGTTACTGATTGATCTCTGAATGTTTTTTTTTGTAATTTTTTACGTATGCGATCTCGAAGTATATACAAACATGTTTGACGGTTGGATCTTTGAAACTAGTTTCGTAGAATGAGTATCCCATCAAAACAATAGATTCACTAATACTTAATAGTTTATTCATACTTTTATTAAGTATAAATATAAGATTTTGTGGTATCCACTAGTGTAAATATTTTAAATTGAAGATCGAATTCAATCATTGTATTCATATAAGGTCAAGGAGTGTAGCTGTAAAAAATCATCAAAATCGGAGTTAAAATAACCGTTAAATCGTGATTTTTCTTTTTATAACCGTCGAAAAGTTTTGTCCCGTTACTTGCTCTCTGAATGTTTTTTTTTTTGCAATTTTTGGCGTATGCGATCTCGAAATATATACAAACATGTTTGACGGTTGGATCATTGAAACTAGTTTCGTAGAATGAGTATCCCATCAAAACAATAGATTCACTAATACTTAAGAGTTTATTCATACTTTTATTAAGTATAACATAAGATTTTGTGGTATCCACTAGTGTAAATATTTTAAATTGAAGATCGAATTCAATCATTGTATTCATATAGGGTCAAGGAGTGTAGTTGTAAAAAAATCATCAAAATCGGAGTTAAAATAACCGTTAAATCGTGATTTTTCGTTTATAACCGTCGAAAAGTTTTGTCCCGTTACTTGATCTCTGAATGTTTTTTTTTTTGCAATTTTTGGCGTATGCGATCTCGAAGTATATATACAAACATGTTTGACGGTTGGATCATTGAAACTAGTTTCGTAGAATGAGTATCCCATCAAAACAATAGATTCACTAATACTTAATAGTTTATTCATACTTTTTATTAAGTATAATATAAGATTTTGTGGTATCCACTAGTGTAAATATTTTAAATTGAAGATCGAATTCAATCATTGTATTCATATAAGGTCAAGGAGTGTAGCTGCAAAAAATCATCAAAATCAGAGTTAAAATGACCGTTAAATCGTGATTTTTCGTTTATAACCGTCGAAAAGTTTTGTCCCGTTAACTTGATCTCTGAATGTTTGTTTTTTGTAATTTTTGGACGTATGCGATCTCGAAATATATACAAACATGTTTGACGGTTGGATCTTTGAAACTAGTTTCGTAGAATGAGTATCCCATCAAAACAATAGATTCACTAATACTTAATAGTTTATTCATACTTTTATTAAGTATAACATAAGATTTTGTGGTATCCACTAGTGTAAATATTTTAAATTGAAGATCGAATTCAATTCATTGTATTCATATAGGGTCAAGGAGTGTAGTTGTAAAAAAAATCATCAAAATCGGAGTTAAAATAACCGTTAAATCGTGATTTTTCGTTTATAACCGTCGAAAAACTTTTTTTGTCCCGTTACTTGATCTCTGAATGTTTGTTTTTTTTTTGCAATTTTTGGCGTATGCGATCTCGAAGTATATACAAACATGTTTGACGGTTGGATCATTGAAACTAGTTTTCGTAGAATGAGTATCCCATCAAAACAATAGATTCACTAATACTTAAGAGTTTTTATTCATACTTTTATTAAGTATAACATATAAGATTTTGTGGTATCCACTAGTGTAAAATATTTTAAATTGAAGATCGAATTCAATCATTGTATTCATATAGGGTCAAGGAGTGTAGTTGTAAAAAATCATCATCAAAATCGGAGTTAAAATGACCGTTAAATCGTGATTTTTCGTTTATAACCGTCGAAAAGTTTTGTCCCGTTACTTGATCTCTGAATGTTTGTTTTTTGCAATTTTTGGACGTATGCGATCTCGAAGTATATACAAACATGTTTGACGGTTGGATCTTTGAAACTAGTTTCGTAGAATGAGTATCCCATCAAAACAATAGATTCACTAATACTTAATAGTTTATTCATACTTTTATTAAGTATAACATAAGATTTTGTGGTATCCACTAGTGTAAATATTTTAAATTGAAGATCGAATTCATTCATTGTATTCATATAGGGTCAAGGAGTGTAGTTGTAAAAAATCATCAAAATCGGAGTTAAAATAACCGTTAAATCGTGATTTTTCGTTTATAACCGTCGAAAACTTTTTGTCCCGTTACTTGATCTCTGAATGTTTGTTTTTTGCAATTTTTGGCGTATGCGATCTCGAAGTATATACAAACATGTTTGACGGTTGGATCATTGAAACTAGTTTTGTAGAATGAGTATCCCATCAAAACAATAGATTCACTAATACTTAAGAGTTTATTCATACTTTTATTAAGTATAACATAAGATTTTGTGGTATCCACTAGTGTAAATATTTTAAATTGAAGATCGAATTCAATCATTGTATTCATATAGGGTCAAGGAGTGTGTTTGTAAAAAATCATCAAAATCGGAGTTAAAATGATCGTTAAATCGTGATTTTTCGTTTATAACCGTCGAAAAGTTTTGTCCCGTTACTTGATCTCTGAATGTTTGTTTTTTGCAATTTTTGATGTATGCGATCTCGAAGTATATACAAACATGTTTGACGGTTGGATCGTTGAAATTAGTTTCGTATAATTCGTATCCCATGAAGTTCAATGTGTGTGTGTGTGTATATATGTATTTATTTATTAAGTAGATTTAAATCTATTTATTTTGTATGTATAATTATTATAGTTTTTAGGGGTATAAAATTTAATATATATATATATATATAATTATTATAGTTAATATTTTGGGTATAATTATTATAGTTAATATAATATATATATATATAATTATTATAGTTTTTAGGGGTATAAAATTGTTAAATTAATATATATATATAAATTATTATAGTATTTTTTTAGGGTTATAAATTATTAAATTAATATTCTGCTTATCGTGTATCGTGTTACCCACGTGTATACCCGAACAAACCCGTTATCTTAACAGGTGCTTATCGGGTTACCCGATAACGACCCGTTTCGTTATCGTGTCGACTCGAACACCTGTTAATTTCGTGTCGTGTCGTGTCGGGTTATCGGGTCGTGTCAGGAATTGCCAGGCCTAGGCAAATCAAGGGGTGAAATACCTAGAGGGACTAAGCTATTTAATCGGTTGTGAAGTGACCCAGTTCACGAAGAAAGACTTTTGCCTCATTACTAGGCTTCGTTACGAGGAACCCTATTATATAGATGTTGAGCCTTCCAACATTAGGATTTGTGGGAGTATTTTCCTGAGAAATTTGAGTTTGTTGGAGAGAGTAGCAAGGGTAGGAGAGAGAAGGGCAAAGGTAAAGCAAATATCGCCTACAAGAAAGTGAGCAAAATGATTTTGGTGACTTATGTCGAGCTTGAAAGTGATTTTAAAGAATGCGAAAATAAGGATGATGCATTGAAGTTGGGGCTGGTATACTTTGCCAAGGCAATCTTGATATGGGCGAAGAGTAATATGGTTGTGAATCTAGATACTTCCACCTCGTTAAGGACATGAGTAGGTTCAACAATTATTTCTAGGGTACTGATTCATTAGTCATGCGACTTCTCTGTTGGAAGGCAATGAAGAAGCAGCTCACTTTCGAGCAGCTGAAGATGTATATAACTGAGAGCTGAGAGGTATTATTGTCTATAAATGTACATGACTATTTGCAAATGTTGTGAATGTTTATGATTGTTTAAGTATGAATATGTGTGAGAAATTAATTTGTGAAGATTGCTACATTAATGGGTAGCCTATAGGGATTCGGGAAATTGTGCCAACTAAATTGGAGAAGAATAAAGGTAACTGGACGTGGGCGGATGAGGATGATCTTGTGATGCTCGACAACCTATAACCCAAAACGAATGAAGTCTATACCGCAAATAGCGCATGAGAAGGATATTTCATAGCGGAAAATGTGGAAGAAGATCGAAGAGTAGGAATTAAGAAAGCAAGTTTAGAAAAAACGGGTGGAGGAATTGAGTGAGGAAGACGAAACTATTGAAAAAGAAGGTCATGAGGAAGAAGAAGAGGATGGGGAAGAGGGTGGTGAGGTTGAAGCTGAAGAAAAGGATGGTGAGAAAGACGGTGATGAACAAGGTAGTGAGGAAGAAGGTAAGCAACAAGTTGAGGAAGAGAATACAAATGAGGAGGAAGTAAGGGAGGATTCCAAAGGCGAAGAAAATGAGGAATCAAGAAGGAAAGAAGGTGAGAATGGAGGGAAGGAGATTATGGCTGAAAAGAATAAAAGCTTTTGAAAGTAGTGCATGAGTTTGTGATTGGGATATATGTATGTGCGAAGCTCCTTGAGTTGGTTGGAGAAGCAGTACCAGACTGGTACGAAGAAGTCAATGGTTCCAATGCTAATAAAGATGTAGTGGTTACACATGATAGCTAGCATTTGGGAACTAAAAGAAAGGTCCGTTATACAAGGGCGACAATGAAGTCTTTGCCATATAAAAAGGAGCAGAAAAAGAAATGCAAAGTGGTAGATTATATTGCTAGGGTCTTTGACCTCAAGAAATGCCCAAAACACCATGTTGTCTAACCCTTAGAGGATGTTGTGTAGAGAGATTCCATACTTAAAGCCGTAGAAGAAAGGTGCGTGCTTGATATGATAGAACTTTTCTATCAATTCAAGATGATGAAGGAGAACGACAATGAGTAAGATACTCTATAAAGTATGGTTTTTATTTATTGAAATTGGTATCAGGCGGAATATCTTGTCATTTAAAATTTGATATATGCTTAAGTGACTAGTCAGTGTCACCAGTCAACTAAGATTAGATTTGTCAGTTTACCAAACCAAGAATAAGCAATTATACCTGGCTTACTAATGTAACCCTAATTAACAAAGATCTAGTTTAGTGCACATTTAAACTTTGTTAAATTTAGTTGAAAGCACATATCTATTTGCTAACCCTAGAGTCAATGAGTTACAAGAAAATTAACAAGATATGTGAACAAGAATAACAATAATCAACACAAGGAGTTTTTTGGTTGGAAAACCCCACCTTTGGGTTAAAAAACCTGGGACTCACCACTAAGTCTAATCCACTAGGCTAAACAAGTTTCATACAAAGTATCCACACAAGCTCAATTCCTAGATCCTAATCTACAGAGCAGCTTATACCCTTGTGCAACCTTACCTTACATAAGATGGACTTACTTGGTCTTCATGAAGTGGCAGCTCCTCCCGAGCTCATCACCTTGTGGCACCGAGAACCAACACAACCAATGCAAATGTTATGACAATGATGGTTATGTGAAATTTGGATTCAATGACCAATCAGTTTCTCCAATCAACCATTTGAAGGAAAAAGCTGATGAGAATCCTAAAATTAGGTTTATATAAGGATTTGAAACTTAATGCAAGACCATGAAAACATTGTAAACCTACTTCCTAATGATTGGTGTTTAATGCATGAAGAAGGTTTGGCAGTTAGGGTTTCATAAATGTTGAAGAGGCAGGCCCAAAGCTTTTAAGGCAACTCTCTCACTCTAAAATAAATTCTAAACCTTTTAAAAAAAAAACTAAAACCCTAGAGCGCAAACACACCAAAGGAAATATGATTTTAATCAGCCAACTTATGCGAAGGTACTTGTCAGCTGTAAACAAAAAATAGGTAAATCAATTGCTACAATTTAACCACTAGCAAAAGGTTTCAGTCAACCCATGTGGGCTGTCTTAATTTGTGTGCCCATACAGTTGGAAGTCAACGCGTAAAACTGACTAGACAATCAAACTAGACAGAATGCAACACAAATATAGACATGGAATATACATGCATGAACAAACCCTTTGAGGTGAAATGTGCCACATCTTGAACATTTCCTCTAATAGCAATATTCCATAATCAGAGTATAGCCTAAAGCTCGATTTAGCATATGTGTGTGGTTTGATAGGAGCATATTTATGCGACTTAGTTGGCTTGTTCTTGTGCATTTATGTCGTGTGTCCTTAGTTATTTTAATGTTTAAAGTCATTTTCATGTGTTTTCAGATTTTAAGGACAAAGTAGGCAAGAAGATGCATTTTGGAGCATTTTGGAGCAAAATGGAGCTTGGAATGCATGTCACATATTTGGAACCAAGGTTTGGACGAAATTGAAGACTTAAAGAGGCTAAGAATGTGAAGAATTAGTGTACAAAGGATCATGAATTCAGCCACAAAAGAACAAGAGCATCCTTGCCGTGCAATCCACATTGCATTCCCTTTGGATTCCCATGCATGCTTAATCATCCTTGTCCCCTAAAATATTTCTGATTTCATGCCCCAATACACTCAATTATCACACTCAATTGCTGCATACCTCTTGTTCCCTTCACCCATCTGATTTCACACAACTTTCACAACCATTCCATGCACCAATTGATGCTCCATCATCCACATTTGGGATCCAATGCCGTGTGCAACACATGTTGCTGCACCTTTGACTAATTTCTGAAACATTTCACCTCCCCTTTTCATTTCCATGCAATGAACACAATCATTCATGCTCCCTAGCTGAAATACCACTCCATTTTACCCTCCATATTTTGCATCATTGCTCCATTTTCATCCTTGGACCATTGCACACCACAAATTCACCCTCCTTGCTGTGCATTTCCCCCACTGCCTAATCTGATTCTCTAGGGTTTTTGGGGCCTATATATACATGTTTACAACCCTTGGCAAAGGGTTGAACCTCCCATATTCATCATCCATGCAGAAAATTCGTCCATACTCACCTTAGGCAGCAAAACACCCCAAAACACCATTTTAGTGCCCAGAAAACATAACAGCCACTCCACCTTCTTCCACCCTTTTTGCCGAGTTCTCCACCACCCTCCAACCATCAAACACTCCTCCACCCTCACCCTAAACCTTTCCATACCATTCCCCATCCATTCTACACCATAAAACTACCCAAAACCTGTCCATAACCCAATCTGCCGCAAGCAAGGGAAAAGAGGAATCTTGGATGCACTTGCTACCAAGTTGGAGCATTCTAGGTGTTTTCTTTCTTTGGATTTTAATGTCTAATTCATGTAATCTTTGTTTTGCTTTAAGTATGATTGGCTAATTTCGTTTTTGGCTAAGGGTGTATTCAAAACCATGATTATATATGTGAAATGAGTTGATTACTTCCAGTTATTGTTACATAAGTCGTGAATACAATTTGCTTAACCATTTGATTTAGAACTTATTCTTGTATGTTGGTTGAGAGTGCACGCTTAATTTGCATGCTTGAATTTGATGCTAGGATATAAATTTGTTTTACCTAATCGTTATGAATTTATATTCGTAAGTAGTGAAGGTCGCTAGTCACGATCATGTTAAGTAGATTCCTGGCAAGAGTATCATGCTTTTCATAGTTACGAATGCCTTGTCGATGCTTATGATTTCCAAAGAACGTAATGATTCTAACTCGTGTCTTTATCATGCTGTTCATATAAAGAACTTGTTAGGAATAATTTGTTTGCGATGCATATTCATCCAATTCAATGATTCTAGGGAAATCTGAAGGTTAATTTAAGCGGACCTAATTAACTTGGAGTGTCGAGATTCATAACTTATTCAATTGATAACTGGAAATCGATTTAGGTTGCATATATTTCATGTGTGGAGAAGAACCCCTTAGCCATTCCATCATCCATTGATTCTTCATAACTTTGTATTACAATCTGTTTCTCTTACAATCTGCCATTTAAGTTTATTTTCGTCCAAATCAAATCCCCAATTATTTTGAATTCCTAGATTAATTGGAAAGTGTGTTGGTTTATGTTTTTAAGTGTTTTGGTACAAGTTAAAACCCAAATTCGTCCAATTTGATGCTTTGTGTTCAAAACTGCCCAGAAAGTGGTTTTTAGGCAGTTTTGAGTGTTTGGTTGCTGTTTTGATTCTTTTGGTTCGTTTTAGTGTTTTAGAGTTTAGTTTTGCATTCTTTGAGTATAATCTAGTGCTTTAAACTTTGTTTTTACATTTCTAAGTCAGTTTTCAAGTGTTTAGCAATCCCTCCTAATCCCCGGTCTAGAACGATCCCTATTTACATACTTTGCTACAATTCATAAAAAGAGGGTTTAATTTTCTGTGTTAACTTATTTCTCACATCATGGTTTAATTACAATATTTGACAAGGAAAGTCAAATCTAAAAGTCTTGACTTCACATTTATGCATGAAAGCTTATGAGTGATTGAATATAATGATGAGCCGTTATGCTTTTTTGTTAAATTGTTAGTTTGGTTGCCTCTTTAACCATTAGGACATAAGGAGATGCCGACTTTTGGAGGCGGCTCCTTGAGTTGGAAGGTTGACTGTGCACCAATGTAAATGACTAAACAATATTTGTTATGGAGTGATTGAATTATGTTGGGATTGCATTGTTGATGTTTAATTTAAAACAATACCAATGACTATTTTCAGGTAAAGTAGCAAACTTATTTGCTGCCATAATATTCAAAACTTTTGCAGGTTTGATATTGAGTACATTGTCGTATTGATGATTTATGTTATATGTTGTTTGATTTCTTATTCACGATTCTACTATATGTTATTCAATTCTGCATAGGCTTACTGTACACTTTACTATGCATCAAGGACAGCTGCAAAAGCAACAAGAGGTGTGGACGGCTAAGGTTTTAAAGGACTTGTGCTAGTGTTGATGAAAAAGGTGAAAGGGGAGATGTTGGACTTTAGTATATCATGGCTCGAAGGGGTAGGAAGGTCTTTATGCCATGAACCTTAATAAGCACTGGGTGGCCGTTGAGGTTGATCTGGTTAAGGGAAAAATCTTCATTTACGACTCATTACATATGACAACCCAAGTGCGCCGTTCGACTAATAAGTTGACTCCCTCGCTCACGTCTTACTAGATTTGTTGAGGAGGCTGTCCTTGTAGGGGAAGGAAGGACCTTGGCCTATTGCAATTACCAAAGATGCTCCACAACAAGGCAACGGGTGAGTGACTAATTAATTGATGGCAGTCATGAAATTTTACATAGTTCATAGTTTTGTTTGGTTCTAATATGTTATGTGTTTACTTAGGGGGGATTGCGATATTTTCACCTTGAAAGTTATCGAATTGTAGTTTGTTAAGCTTCCATTGGATATAGTTACGCAGCCAAACGTCCTTCCATTCCGATTGACAAGGGTTGTTGACATGTTGCATAGCGTCCACAATGTCTAGAGCTTTGTGGTTGATGAACAAATTTAGTTTAGAAACAGAATATCTAAGGAATATGTGTTGTTGGACAAATTTTCCAATTCTTGTGACAA